CTAGATCATCATCTAGCCAAATAGGGGATTTGTTAAGAAATTTATTTTTGCTGAGTGAATTCCACCATGGACAAGAGAATTCGCTCACTCAATTTTCATCACTTAGAAAATTTATATGACCATCAACCACGGGCCAAAGTTCACTAAGTCAAAACTTTTGGCTAAGCAAGCCCCAAACTCTAGAAATCAAAATGAAATTTCACTAAGAAAAATCTACTTCCCTAGGTTAAGTAAAAAGGCTTACCAAAAGGCCAAAATTGGTTGAGTGAGGTCTCATTATGCAAATCTCGCAAGCACACCTAGAGGCTAAAACTTGCTTAGCCAACAGATTTCGTTGAGAGAAATAACAAGGTCCTAAAATCATAAGAGACCTTGACTTAGAAAAATAGTGGTCCATTCAACCAAAATTCACGTTGTTCATCCATTTCACTAAGCTAGACCAATCTCCCTAAGCAAAAACTCATTTTTTTTTCCATTTGCCCTTCATCCTATGAAGGTTCACTAGGCGAGAAAGCCAAAAACACTTCATATGCAACGATATCCAAAGGTCTAAACCACTGAATTTATTAAAACATCCATCAAACAACACATGCAACCATATATGGCACAACCCCCCCCCCCCCCCCCCGCCCCCATGCAGGACCCAAAACCACAAACAAGGAGGAATCCTCAAAATCTCAACATCAAGCCATCAATTTGTCTAAAAACAACATCATATATAATAACACATGCAACCATGATCAAGAATCTCTTGCCTCGATCAAGATCCCTAAGGCTAGAAATTGAAGAAGAGAATAACTTTTGCAATATCCTTGCTCTAATATCTTTCTTTCGCTACCATGAACCTAAGTGCCTATTTGGATTTCCGTTTGAGAAGCTTCAAACGCAATCCCAATTTCCGAAGCACGAAACGGATAAGTAAGTTTGAGGCATCTTTAGACAAACATACGTTAACGTTTAGATGAACGTTTATACAAATACACTCTAAATCTCTAGCTTGAAAAAGATTTGGAGCCTAAGGAACGATCACTATTAAAAAAATTGCATTTAGTGACCACCAAAATCGGTCGCTAAATTGCTAAATTCGGTCGCTATTTGCCTTAGCGACCGAATTTAAGTAGTCGCAAAAACCCTAGTCGCAAAGCTATATAGCGACAAAAAAATTTTCAATCGCTATTTAGTGACCAAAAATTTTGGTTTAACGACCGAAAATTTCAAAAATTTCGGTCGCAAAATGGTTGCAATGATTTTGACAAAGTCCAGTTCAGTTAAGGGACCCAAAATTACGTTGCAAAGTTTTGGCCTTGTGTAGTATTTTCTGTTTGTTTTTAGATTGTAATGTTAGGATTTGTTTAGTGGTGTAATTATTAGTTGATTTAGTGGGCTGGGCCTTTAATTACTTAGATTAGGCCCACCGAATTTCTCTATTAATAGGTGTTGTGAGACTTGTTGTATACACTTTATACTTATTTTATAGATTTAAGAATGCTTGCTCTAGAAGCTTCTCTCGTTTTCTCTCAACTCCCTTCTTTTCTCTTTCACGAATTCCTCTTTATTTTGATCAAGACTCTTCATTTCTTTCCAAACAGATTTGTGCATGGACAATGATGGAGATGAGCCGCTATGTTCTCTTGATCGATTCAAGTTTTTTTAATGATGATATTTTGGTGCACGGTGTGGGGTGGGAATTGGGTAGCTCTATGTTCATATATGATGTTATCTATCTCTCACCGTCCTGTTTTTATGTGGTTTTCTTTTAGGTGAAGATGAAGGCACTCATAGTGTTGAGTTCTAAAGGGAAAGGGTTCTGCTCTGATAGGATGTGACATTGGGGCATGAATTTAGGATGCTTTAGTTATGAATTGTTATTTGTCGTTTGAGGAGACTTATTTTTAGGAGTTTTATATTCACCTTATATTTGTAAATTCTGGATCCCTTTCATTTTTCTTTAGAGACCTTGATAATTTTCTTTTAAGAGTAAAACTTTATTATCATTATTATTATTATTTCTATTTATTTCAAGACTTGTGAACCTATGAGTTTTTATTAAAATATGTGGACCCTTCTTGATGTTATATTTATTGAATTATTCTTATTGTTGTTACTTATCTATTATGTGGTAGAAGGGTGTCACAGCTTAGTTGGTTGTGCTTGCTGTGTTGTTTAGGATGAATATGATACAATTGATAAGTATGTGTATAAGCATGTTTTGATGAATATGTTGAATTTGAAATTGCACAGATTATAATATGTGATAGTTCATTTTGAGAAGAAACTTTGTATATATTTATTTGGCCTTTTTGACCTTTCTATGTGTCTTATATTCATGTTTTGGCTTAAATTTATGATAGTATTATTTGATGAATGTAATTTTTACTCAATTTTTGGATTTTTACTCACTTTTACTCTTTGTTCTTGTGCAGGCCATATTTGAAGCTCCCAATATCGGATTCGGACGTTCTTGGTGTCTATGGAAAGATAAAAGAGATTTCTACAACTTCTCTATTGGGAGCAAAGTCCAGTTCAGTTAAGGGACCCAAAATTACGTTGCAAAGTTTTGGCCTTGTGTAGTATTTTCTGTTTGTTTTTAGATTGTAATGTTAGGATTTGTTTAGTGGTGTAATTATTAGTTGATTTAGTGGGCTGGGCCTTTAATTACTTAGATTAGGCCCACCGAATTTCTCTATTAATAGGTGTTGTGAGACTTGTTGTATACACTTTATACTTATTTTATAGATTTAAGATTTCTTGCTCTAGAAGCTTCTCTCGTTTTCTCTCAACTCCCTTCTTTTCTCTTTCACGAATTCCTCTTTATTTTGATCAAGACTCTTCATTTCTTTCCAAACAGATTTGTGCATGGACAATGATGGAGATGAGCCGCTATGTTCTCTTGATCGATTCAAGTTTTTGATTATGCAGTAAAATCCTCTCGAATTCGAATTCCTCTCTTCTCTTCTTAAATTTTTCTATTCTTCAATTAAATTTGAATTAAATTTATGATTATGGATTTCATTTTTAATTAATTGAATAATATAAATAATTCAACTTAATTTTAGAACACCGAATTGGATTCAATTCGGATTGGAATAATACGAAACAAATTTTTCTTCATAGGATTTTCATGGAGCATGATTGCGTTCTTCATTCTTTAATTTGAATTAAATATTAAATGTTGGAATTCATATTATATTTTTTTACTACAATAATCAGAACTTGAATTCTTGTGCAGGCCATATTTGAAGCTCCCAATATCGGATTCGGACGTTCTTGGTGTCTATGGAAAGATAAAAGAGATTTCTACAACTTCTCTATTGGGAGCAAAGTCCAGTTCAGTTAAGGGACCCAAAATTACGTTGCAAAGTTTTGGCCTTGTGTAGTATTTTCTGTTTGTTTTTAGATTGTAATGTTAGGATTTGTTTAGTGGTGTAATTATTAGTTGATTTAGTGGGCTGGGCCTTTAATTACTTAGATTAGGCCCACCGAATTTCTCTATTAATAGGTGTTGTGAGACTTGTTGTATACACTTTATACTTATTTTATAGATTTAAGATTTCTTGCTCTAGAAGCTTCTCTCGTTTTCTCTCAACTCCCTTCTTTTCTCTTTCACGAATTCCTCTTTATTTTGATCAAGACTCTTCATTTCTTTCCAAACAGATTTGTGCATGGACAATGATGGAGATGAGCCGCTATGTTCTCTTGATCGATTCAAGTTTTTGATTATGCAGTAAAATCCTCTCGAATTCGAATTCCTCTCTTCTCTTCTTAAATTTTTCTATTCTTCAATTAAATTTGAATTAAATTTATGATTATGGATTTCATTTTTAATTAATTGAATAATATAAATAATTCAACTTAATTTTAGAACACCGAATTGGATTCAATTCGGATTGGAATAATACGAAACAAATTTTTCTTCATAGGATTTTCATGGAGCATGATTGCGTTCTTCATTCTTTAATTTGAATTAAATATTAAATGTTGGAATTCATATTATATTTTTTTACTACAATAATCAGAACTTGAATTGATGTTTTATCCAATTGGATTTTAAAATTGCTAAAATTATTATAAATAATTATATTTTTATTTTTTTAGCAGTCAATTTTAATTTGGTCGCTAAAATTATTATAAATAATAATATTTTTTATTTTTTTAGCGACCGAAACCGTTTCATCGCTATTTTAATTAATTATTATTATTTTAGCGACCGATTATTTGCCACTAAAAAATTTGGTTGCTAAATAAAATTTGCAACCAAATCAGATTCGGTCGCTAATTATGTCACTATTAGTGACGGAAAAAAAATGGTCGCTAATTTTAGTGGCTAAATTAACTTTTTTTTTTGTAGTGGATGAGAAAAAGAAAATAAGTTTTGATCTCTTAAAATCTTTGTTTCTAATTTTTATGAAAATGAAACTTATGAGATTTCACTGTTCGTTTTCCTATATAAACATCAATAGTTACTTTTCTAACTCTAACATTTCTTAAGCTATAATCTTATAACATCTTTAGGGTTATCCCATCACTAACCCTTACACCCACAACCAAGCCATATTATAAGCATATAAAGTAAATAATACATGGACAAAACATTCATATAGGAAAACATTCATAGGTAATTGTATTTGAATTTTATCTATGTTAAATATTTATTTATAGGTAGAAGTAATATTTGGTTTACTTATAGTCATATTTATGTAAAAACTATATATATGTGTATAACTTTTCTTATACTGTATTAATTAAACAAATAATTTTTGCACAATGCCTTAGAGAAAGGTACGGAAAATAAAGCCAATCGTGATTTATAAAACCTCGCGGGTGAGAAAATTTACTTTTCAAAGCAGCCAAATAACTTGCAAGATGCAATTACAACAGGTACAACTACGTGGACCGATTCAAATTTAGCAACCCATTTGAACTCAGTGATTCTTTCGAGGAAAAAACCAAACAAAACGGACAAGCAGAAAGAAAATAAGCAATAAAACACTCGAGGCATAAAAAAAATTGAATACTTCATTACATAATTAATTTATTGCTATTACAATTTGAATAACACTATAACCTAATGATACATTTTTCTAACATAAAAAAATGTTAAACGAACATGCATTATTGCACAATATACATAAAACAAAGTCAGTGTTTTTCCCTTTTGGATTCCTCAGATTAGCTGGCATTTTTTTTTACCTTTTTTATATGCATTTATTACACTATAATATAATCACTTTTACCCTTTACCAATGTATAGCTAGTTTCTTTTGTCACTGAATGACTCTGGCTCTTGGCGTGCCCTTTAATTCATAATTATTTATTTATTTTTGAAATGTTTGCTATCTTCCAAATTTAATAATACCCTTAATGTGTTTTCCTGAAAAATTCAGAACTCTGGCAATTCTATTGACTCCCCCGATCTTATGAACAAGTCATACCAGAAATCCATGCCATCATCAAAGTTTGAGCCATTATAATCATAACTGTGTTGGATGGTTTCCACTGAATTAATTTGATTTTGAGGAGGTACTAATTCTAATTCATTTGAAATTGTCCAAGAATTTGATGGCATGGTGGAGGTTTCATCATCCACCACTGTTGCCTCTGACCAAAAGCTTTCATCAATAATTGGAGGCATGGTCTCCACAGACTCTATGTCTTCACTCTTGATGATGTTAATGTTGTTGTCCATCGTCATCGTGCTCTTATTAGTTCCTTCGCTGAATGATGAAAAATCACTGGAAGATGTGCATGCTGATGATGATGTTGTTAGTGTGCTGGAATTGGAATTGGATCGTTTCATTCTTGGCTTGGAAACTCTTTTGGTATCTGATGAATTCAATAGTCTCTTCTTCAAGTTAGTGTGCCACACATTTTTTATTTCATTGTCGGTTCTTCCAGGTAGTTTTGCTGCTATTGCTGACCACCTGAAAACAAGGGTCAAGAAATTTATTATGAATGTTATGAGATATATTTGCACAAAAATCGCGTTTGGTTTAGTGATTAAAGTGAGTCAGAAAATAACAAAGTTGGATACTGCATTGATTGTAGGATTGCATGGACAGTAAATCTCATCACTCATATGCACTCATTGGTATATATGTTCGTCTAGCATATATTATAGTTGCATGTACTCTAAACCGCCATATATAATAATAATGAGAATCTTGCTACCCCACCCACATGTTGTACGTATTGGAAATTAAAATGGACTTAATTTATAACAGTTTAGTAATATATATATATATATATATATATATATATCACTACAAGAAAAAGACAAATTTCACACGGATTTTTTCACACGCACCAACATCCCGGGATATATATATATATTTGTTGACAACTAAATTAAAAAAAATGATAAAAGTCCATTACTGGATCAATCAATCCAAGATTTTCCAGCATGATTTATGGCTTTTGTCTGCTATTCATATATCATGAATGGACCCAGTTCCTTTAAAATTTTATTATTAACACTTAATGCCACTTGCACCCACCACTTAAATTTTGTTTACTTTTCAGAGAAATTGAGAAGAAGAAAAAACATGTTTGTGGAATTAGGATGTGAGACAAGACTTGAGTTGGATTTTCATTTAATATATTTTTAGAAAGGGACTAGAAGTTTTAACAAAAATAAGTTTTTAATCAAAATAAAAGAAATAACGAAACGTGTAAAAATATCTTAAAATTTCACCATAAAGTAAAAGATCCTAATTCCAGTGGTAAAAAGAAATTGAAAATCCAAACCCAGTTTCCAGAACAGAACCGCACATAACAATTTCAGGCAAATTTTTTAAAACGGTCATCAAATAATATCCTATTATTTGATGTGTTACTAAATAATCATTATTATTCTTATTAAAACTTTCGACTATGAAGATAAGACAAAGTATGAATGTGAAGAAGAAATCAAAGAATATAATAATACCTGTTGCCCAGCAACTGGTGCATCTTAATGATAATTTCCTCTTCTTCACTCGAGAAATTTCCTCTCTTGATATCAGGCCTTAAATAGTTAATCCACCTTAGTCTGCAGCTCTTTCCACACCTCAATAGCCCTGAGGAACAATACCAAAAGCACCCAGAAATAAAATCAATAAACACAACATCATAACACACCAAATCATCAAAAACAAAAAAGTGGAATATGCAAATTACGAAAACCTTATACAAATATGAATTTAAAACAAGCTCAAAGTCTACAAAACCTAATTATGAGCCAAGAATGATCTCTAATTTACATATTCTATTTTGTTCCTATCTCTAATCCATCACATAGTTATATTTTTTCAATACATCTCACTCACACATTCAGGTTTATTAGATTTAGTGTGTGAATAAAGGACACCATATTAAAATTATAAATTTGAACCTAACTTGTCTATATAATTTTAGTTTATGCTGTGATAATTATTTTTTACTTATATACTTTATTTTTGTCTTATCAATAGTCTATTTATTATAATTAGATGTGTTTTTTGGTTCTTGAGAAATTAAGTACCTGCAAGTTTTGGGAGGGCACGCCAGTTGCCATGGCCATATTTTTGGATGTATGACATGAGGATTTGATCTTCCTCTGGGGTCCAAGGACCCTTCTTCAATCCCATCTTTTGACAACAAGGAGCCCTAACCATCTTCAAAATTGTGTAATGTTTTGCTTTGTGTACGTTCTCACTTTGTGTAGCTCGAGCTCTCTTTGAATGGGATTGTTCAACTTTGTGTCACAATATGCTGCTATTTATACATCCTCGGATATTCCGCACGCCACTATGATGAGCAAGAATGGTCCAAGACAGGAATTAATAAGACGTTTTCATATTCAACACATTGAGGCTTTAGCAGCTTCCGGGAAATGGAGTAGGACCACTCTCTTTCTCTCTCTCTCTAGGAAAAATGGAATTAATTTGTAATAATTTTGCTATTTAAGTGAGGAGAGAATTTAAAGATCTCATTGGTGTCAAGGATAAGAAACAGTGGGTTATATTGCAGGTCTATATGATTGATTGTATGTGACGTTTTTTTGTGCGGATTCATTTCACCCTTTGTTTTAAACTAAAAGTCCAATACGTACGGTGTAAGGCTAATTACATTGTCAATTAATCAATTAATTAGAAATTAATTAATCATTAAAATTCTTTTTAAAATGATATTTAAAATATTTATTATAAGAATTAATAAATTTATTATACACAACAATTTTTTATATTATAATATGACTTTTTATATTATATATATATATATATATATGATTATTCTTTCTTTTAAATTAGATTAAATGTGTTCTTATATCATACTATTTTTTTTTCTCTTTTTGTTTTTAAAATTACACTCTCGTCTACTGAGAAATTAATAAATTTGATACTTAATTATTATTTATATTTTCGTCTGTGTAATATACAAGAATATTTTCACTAATAGAAATACTAATAGGATTTGAAGTAGATAAGGATGAGGACGAGTAGGGATGGCAAATATACCCGTACCCGCGGATAATACCCGAACCCGTCCCGACTTTGACGGGGAATACCCGGTTTGGATTGGAGGCGAACCGACATAAAAATATTTGTGTCATTTTTTCTTGTGTCATTTCGTCTACTTTATTACTTCGTTCGATTTACTTTCTAGTACTTCGTCTGTTTGTACTCTTCAATTCCTCATTGCAAAGTGCGAGTTTTTGATATACACTATTCAATCCTCATTGTAGTGTGTATCTTTTTTTCCAATAGAAATATTATTTTAACTTTGTGTGTCTAATGTCAAATTTATTTTGTTAGAGCTACTTTAAATTAGGTCTTTGACGTTTTGTATCTTTTTTTTGTATCCTCACTTGTTAAGACACCTTTTATTTACTCTCACAAAATTGAAGACTTCAACCATGTATACATAAAAGAAAAAAAAAACATTACAAAAAGAATTAATAACAAAGACTCAAAAAATTATAAATATAAAAATCGAAAAAATTTATCTTAAACTATAAGCACTAAATTTTTTTTAAAAACAATTAAGCATAAAAACCATTTTTTTAACTATATAGACTAATTAAAAATAATCTAAGTAAAACTATATAAGGGGCAGTATATTTAATTTTTATTTACCCTCTTAAGACTTAAAGTTATTCCTAGTGATCAGGAGGAGATCCACATTTTAGAAAGGTAAATAATACAAATTTGACGCAATATAGATAAAGTTATTCCTAGGGATCAGGAGGAGATCCACATTCAATCATCAAATCAGCCTTCATTAACAATAAATGTGTGAGCACGTGTCTCTCTCTCTCTCTCTTATAATTTGTCTGCTTGAAAATTTTGACTTAGCCAACAATAATAAAACCTGAATCTATAACTATTACTGGATAAGGCACATAAGTATACTTTATATGCTAGAATCTAAATAAGCCTTCAGAAGATAACTAAATTAAAACACAACACTATCAATTTGAGTTGCGGTGTGTGTGGCGATTCATTCTCGTTACTCAATTAAGTGGCTAGATGGTGTAAAAATAAACTAAGTTAATTTAAATATATTTTTAGTAACTTAAATTTAGGATAAATTTATTTTTAATTTTTTTAATTTAAAATTGTTTTATTTCTTATAATTTTTAACAAAATCTTATTTTATTCCCTAAGGTTACTTATAACATATTTGTACAAATTGAGACAATGATATAGGATTAGTTAGGTTTAATATAATATTTTCACTAATAGAAATACTAATAGGATTTGAAGTAGATAAGGATGAGGACGAGTAGGGATGGCAAATATACCCGTACCCGCGGATAATACCCGAACCCGTCCCGACTTTGACGGGGAATACCCGGTTTGACCGGGTACGGGTACGGGTATGTACTTACCTGCCCCGTACCCGTACCCATACCCGTCCCCGTTCCCATTTTTAATTAAATATTCACTTTTAATTTAATTATATTAAAGAATTTTTTAGTATTTTTTATGTGTAATTATTTATTATAATATGAGATAGAGAAATAATCTAATTATAATTATAATATAATTAAAAAAATAATTTAAAAATATTATATTTAAAAAAATAATAATAATAAAATAAAAATTTTGACGGGTACGGGTATACCCGATACCCGACGGGAACGGAGATGGGGATGAAAATCACATA